CGTTCAAGTTTATGCATTTGTAGAAATGAGATTTGCTCAAATCACATTGCTATTTCATTTCAGCCTGACAATTGAGCGCACTGCTTTCCACTTGGGATTTAGCAAATGTTTTTCGATTCCGTAATATACAAAAAAGTCTAGAGTAGCATGGGATGATTAGGTAATTGTCACAACTTTGATTGTGACATGTAACCTGGAACATCAGATGTGTATGCCCAGTGTTATCTTAAATGCATTTAGCTACATGAGATTGCACTTGGGACAATATTACTGAGCAGAGCCTCTTATTTTTTAACTTGAAATCATAATGATCCTTCCTTGTGCTGCTACCTTTCCACTCTTGCTTCAGTCTACTTTTGGATGCTCTGGTTTATTCATCGTTTCTTCTATGGATTTAGTTCCTGTTAGCATTGTTTCAACAGCCAATGGCTACTTATAACACTTTTGAGAAAACTATATCTTTTTGTTTGACTTGGTTTGATTTCTTGGGGGAGATATCTTCTTCCACAGTAGATATTGGATTCCAAACTTTGTGGAAGTTGTCTGTTTTCTATTCTTGATCTAGTGCTTTTTATTCATTTATTATCATTGTCCTCTCCTCTGTTGGCTTCCATGATGATATACCTTGACTATTTTGTGAAATATACTATGATTTGTAACGTTTGTTTTTGTGATAATTTACATTAGAAGTCCATTTTTTCTTTTTGTTTGTCTTGTGCTTTTCTATTTTTTTTAGCTTGAGGCATCCATGCATCAAGGAGCAGAGCAACAAATGCCTTCCTTCAACCTGCCATCCAAAATTTTATGCAAAGTGGTCAACGTTCTTCTTCGGGTGAGTTTTGGTTTTTCTATTGCCTTCGTTTTTTTTTTAATGCGTCACTTATTTGGTGATTCATCGAGCTTTCCTGTGATCCTTTATAAATAATTTGATTTGATTATTTTGTTGGTGTAGGCTGAACCTGACACAGATGAAGTATATGCACAGATAACTTTGCTTCCAGAGCCAGATGTGAGTGCTTTCTTTCTTTCTTTCTTTAATATTTGACTCTGTTAGTTTAGTTAAACCTTTCTTTCCTTCTGGTTGATCTCTCAATTTTTATTTTTCTGTTGTACCTGTTTCTTGCCCATCTGGTCTTGTTTCTTTTCTTTCTTCTAATGCCTGTATTATTTTTCCTGCCATTTGTTGTTTTAGCAAAGCGAGTTGAGTAGTCCAGATGATCCTCTGCCAGAACCTTCAAGATGCACGGTGCATTCATTTTGCAAAACGCTTACTGCATCTGACACCAGCACTCATGGCGGATTTTCTGTTCTTCGGAGACATGCAGATGAATGTTTGCCTCCCTTGGTTAGCTAGCTTTTCCTTTTCAAAACATTGTGATTTTATGTTTTTTCATCTGCTGTCCTTCACTCTTAATTTTTTTTTTCCATATTTCATCCAGGACATGTCTCAGCAGCCACCATGGCAAGAATTGGTTGCAACTGATTTGCATGGGAATGAATGGCACTTTAGACATATTTTCCGAGGTAAGCATCTTGGCTAATCTTTCTGTAATAATTCATTGGGTGATGATTTTGTATCCTGTATTTTTTTAATATTTTTATCCTTAAAGAATATCATAAAGATATAGTACACTTATGTGCTGTTGTTTAGCTTGAAGCTATACATATCTCTACATACAGAATTTGCTGAGAAAATTGCATTCCAATCACACACACAAATGCATGCATGAAAATATACATGTATATATATATATAATTCATGTAAGACAATGCTAGCTGAGTAGCCTGCTTTCTTGCTGCTTGTGGAGAGTAAGATGTTTTTTTGGGAGAAAAAATTGTATTTTGTGATATTGTTGTTGAAATAAGAAGTGCTTTTGACATTTGAGTAGTTCTCTTACAAAAAAGTACTCTACTCACAAATTAGTTTTTCAGTTGTATAATTTTGTTAGTTAAATTTCTCAATCAAAATTTTATGGTGCGTTAAGTAATGAATTAGAACTGTTGGTGCTCTAAAGAGATCTATGATATGTTCCGTCTAGCATTTTTATCTTTTTAGGTTCACTCACGCGCACATGCATGCACACCTGTTTTATGGGGTTATCCGTAAAGTCAGAAATTTTAATATTCATAGTCAGGAAGCTTCTGACTGATCCAGTAATTTCCAGGGCAACCCAGGCGCCACTTGCTGACTACTGGGTGGAGTGTCTTTGTCAGCTCCAAAAAATTAGTGGCTGGCGATGCATTCATATTCCTGAGGTAAGCTGATAAATAGCACAAGTTACTGACCTTTGGGCTAGAAAAATACACCTGAATTTTTTCTCCATTTTGCTTCATACGTTCGATAGGTTTTGTATTCAGTTAATGTTACAATATTACAGAGGTGAAAATGGGGAGCTGCGTGTTGGAGTAAGGAGGCTAATGAGACAGCAAAACAACATGCCATCATCTGTTATATCAAGTCACAGTATGCATCTGGGTGTTTTGGCCACTGCATCTCATGCAATTGCCACTGGAACTCTGTTCTCTGTATTTTACAAGCCAAGGTTTTGTATATGGCATCATACAGTTTGTGTTTTTTCTTGTTTAGTTGATGGTGTTAATACTGTTAGTTTGTGGGTGTTCTTATTTGTATGTACTCCCTCGACAGGTGAAATATTTTGGTTTCGAGATAATATTTGTGTTTTTTGGTTTCTGGCCAAAATGTACTTGTTCTTTTTTGTTTCTTTACTGAGTAATGACTGTCTGCTGACTCATCTGTGGTTGTCTTTAGAACAAGCCGATCGGAGTTTATTGTTAGTGTCAATAAGTATCTTGAAGCAAAGAGTCACAAGTTTTCCGTTGGGATGAGATTCAAGATGAGGTTTGAAGGTGATGAAGTTCCTGAAAGAAGGTTGATGTCCTGGCTGCCCTTGTTTCATGCTTGCATATTACCTTATTGTGCCATCTGATAAACCTTCTCCCACCTTGATTACAGGTTTAGTGGTACAATTGTTGGGGTTGGAGACAATATCTCACCTGTCTGGGCTGATTCTGAGTGGCGCTCATTAAAGGTTTGTAATTCAATTTCTGTTGTGCTGTAATATCTACTTTTTTACTTAGTTGTTTTTATTCACTAGTATATCAGTTACTGTTTTTGAGCTGACAATGATGATAAGTTACTAGCTTTTTGTTTGTATAAATGATGATGGATTTATATCAAGTTCTGGAAGATCAATTTATTCTGTAAATTTGACAGGTAGCTTATAGTTTGAAATTTTCTCGCTGAAAAAAGTCTTGTTGATATCACTTATCAGTGCAGTGTATTGTAGGGAATAACATTTGGTAGACCATTTGCTTTGCATCGTTGATATGTAAATGTATATTACTATTTTGTATGTCTCTGTTTGTGTTATATTATGAAGGAACATTAGGAAGAACCTTGACCATAACATGAAAGATAGGTCTCTATTCTACCTATTTGTATTTAATGATTCTGTGTTGTATTTCAGGTTCAATGGGATGAACCCTCTTCGATCTTGCGACCTGATAGAGTTTCTCCTTGGGAATTGGAGCCACTTGTGAATGCTACCACTGCTGCGAATTCCCAACCAACCCAAAGAAACAAGAGGGCACGTCCTCCTCTGCTGCCATCAGCAGTGCCTGATTCTTTGCATGGTGAGTTGTTTTTGCACTATTGTACGTCATGGTTTTCTTTGATAAATGACTTAATTCTCTTGGTTCGTCAGGTGTCTGGAAATCAGTTGATAAATCTCCACCATTCTCTTATGGTGATGCCCAATACGCACGCGACCTCTATTCATCATCCAAGTTCAATCCTGCTGCTACTAACTTTCTAGGTATTGGTGGGAATAGTCATATGGGGGCTGTTTCTAACAATGCAACTTATTGGTCTAATAGGGTGGAGAACTCTTTGGAGTCAGTAGCCCCTAAAGAATCCACTGAAAAGAGACAAGGCACTGGAAATGGTTGTAGGCTCTTTGGGATTCAGTTACTTGAGAATTCTAATGTAGAAGAAAGTATGCTGCCAGTCACGTTGTCAGGAAGGGTAGGAGATGATAGATCTGCTCGATATGTTGATGTTGAGTCTGATCAGCATTCTGAACCATCAAACGTTAATCGTACTGACTTTCCTTCAGTAAGTTGTGATGCTGAAAAATCATGCTTGCATTCTCCCCCTGAATCACTAAGCAGGCAAATTAGGAGCTGCACGAAGGTAGTACTCGTGAATCTTTTTGTTGTACTCTAATCATTGCCCTTTCTCTTTTCTTTTAATAAACACTATTCCCTTATTGTTTCCTATATTTTATGTGGATGCCAACATATTAATAATTTCTACTAGGCATCAACAATTCTATGCACTTTGATTAGCCATTATGCCATTTTTGAAAGTAGAACAAATCATTAAATATATTAACTCAAAACTTCTTTGTATACTGGCTGATACAAACATCTATTACATTCCAGGTTCACATGCAAGGAATGGCTGTTGGAAGGGCTGTGGATTTGACGCGGTTTGATGGATATGAAGATCTGCTTAAGAAATTGGAGGAGATGTTTGACATCAAGGGTGAGCTTCGTGGATCCAATAGAACTTGGCAGGTTGTCTACACCGATAACGAAAATGATGTGATGATGGTTGGAGATATTCCATGGAAGTATGTTTATATAATGTCAATTCATTATTTGCATTTGTGTCATTTATATTGTTTGCATAAAGACTTGTGTCTTTAATATGTGTTCATATGTATTTGCCATAAATTTGCTGCAGTGAGTTCTGTAGTGCTGTGAGGAAAATTTTCATTTACACAGCGGAGGAGGTGAAGAAGCTTTCGCCCAAAGTGCTACTTTCATTTGGTGAAGAAGCTAAAACAGGCAAGCCAGACTCCGAAGCAGCAGTTAATCCTGAGGACCAGGATCAGTCATCTATTGTGGGGCCTGGTTGTTAATACTTTTACTGTTTACAGTATACCCTAGTTGTTACATACAATAAAACTTGGTATGAAAGTAGGAACTATTGAGGGAAAAGAGATTGAACTTGGCAAGCACTTCATCTTGGCCTAGAGAGGCATGTGATTGGTATATTGTGCTTGGGTGCTGCTGGCATGGTGTCGTCTACCGTCTAGCCTAGCCGCAACATGAGGTCGGTTTTAGTATACTTCTATTTGATCCTCCTTAGAAGTAGGCTTTGGGTATTGTCTTTTTTTTTTTAATATTTTTTATTTCCTGGATTTTGTTAAGTTTTTCATGGTCCTTTGCTTGTTCAGCTTTGAATGAGCTGCCAGCATATGAGGAAATGCGAGTATGCCTGTGTTCATATATATTGTGGATGGTTTGTCTTTTTCTCCACCTCCCTTGTTTTTGGCTTATTTACTTAATGTTATGCCCTCTCATTTTTGTATATAAACATATAATCGTTGAATTTTAATTAATGTATATTGAGCCTTTTTTTTTTCCTGGAGTAGCGGCACCAATCTGGTGTTTGAGACCTATAACTTTGTCTGCCGAGCAGTTTGTTTAATGGTCTACAATTCGGTGCTGCAGGTTTGTCTAGAGGCTTATTAGCATTTTCTAATTCATTTTTGGTTCATTTTACTTTTCTTTTAGTCGATATTTGATTGTAGCTTTATTGCATGAAAATGTATGTTAGTATTATCTATATTTTTGGAAAGATTGTTTTAGATACATTTGTTTTTAGAGTGAGTGATCAGTAGTTCCATTGTATTTTTGGGTTTGTATCAGAGTCAACAAGTCATTTTGTTTGGAGATTTCTGATTTCTAATATGTAACAGGAATAATATTGAATTTCAGCTTCTCCCTCCAGCTCGGTGGCAAAATTTAGGAAATTTTCATCTTTTCTTTTCAATATATTTTTTTTGCCAGCATCTTTTCTTTTCAATATTGTTCTAAGATAAAATTCTTAAATGCAGGAAAAGCGACTTTTAATACTCCCTTTAATATACAAGGTATTTTTGCCTAAATGCACACCAAGAGAAGTTAGTAGTTAATATTTTAACCACCCCCCTCCCAAAAAAATAAAAATAAAAATTGGCCTTCTTTTAAATGCATGGGAAATGTATTTTCTTTGTTTTAAAATATAATGCATGTCTTGTAAAATCTTGTATTTGAATAATTAAGGTTCACAAAATTGTAAGAGCAATTATAACTTTTTTTTAATCTAAAATGCCTCTAGATGTATGTCAGAACTATTTACCCTTCACTTAATAAATAATTAATGATAATGTTAAAGAAAGGTAAAGTCACAAAAAAATGTTGAAATCCTAAGTGCCTAATTATTTTTCTTGGTTTGTGTTTAAATTAAAAATACCTTATATTTAAATAGAGGGAGTAATTTTAATATACTATTATGAGCAAATATGGGAAGAGAGATATCAATTGCTTTTAAAAATCTGCAAAATGTGTTTTAAAACATGTTTTATATTCAAAATAGGGGGAATAGTTCAGGAATAAGATAGTACAAATTTAGGAAGCCAGAAAAAAAAGAAAGTGTATATGTTGTTCGTGTGATTTTCTCGTGATCTTTTTGCCCCCATGAAAGTGTATCATATGCTAAAATGTATCTGAAGTGTGGTTTAACTTGAGAAGTGAACGCCGAAAAAGTTATTTGTGAATCTGTCTCTGGGCTTTTTAGTGTGGATTGTGGTATGTGGATGATGATTTGGGACTAGTGGCAGTAGTGTAACGGTCATAAATTTAAAAAACAGAAAAGCATAAAAGTCTACAAACCAGCACGCTCTTACCAACGGTCCATATTAGTATCTTGTCTTCAAGGTTGTGAGCGTCACTTTATAGGCACAAACAACAGCAAAATCTATATTACCCTTTGCATCCCACTGAATTCTTCCAAGTTCTGGTTCCAGTTCGTCTTCCTCCTGCATCACCATGAAGAACGTGATGAAAGCTGTGAAGAAGCTGAAGTTTTGGTCAAGAAAGAAGAAGAAAAAGAAGAACCATCAACCTTACTATCCTCCTCCACCTCCTCCTTGCTACCATTGCTGCGGTTGCTCCTCCTCCACTGAGCCATCGGCTCCACCCTTACCACCGTGGCTTGAAGCTGAACAGAACATGGGACCTTCTTGTTGCAACCGACTTTGGAACCTGCTCCAGAATTGACATATCCAAGTCCAGTTCATGCACCTTCACGAGAGTGTAATGGAACCTGATCCTGTTGAAAGAAGCTCGTCCTATCAGCAATATATGGTTCCAGAACCTGTTTATGGCATTCCAATTACTCAAACTGCTACAAGAGAGAGATCTGGGGAATTATTTGGGTGTGTTTTCAGCTTTGGAGCTCATTTATTTCGCTGCTTATTCCCTTGTTTTCATATTCGTGAACAAGTCTGAAGTGGGTATGCATGAACTTTGCTAGCACAAGCAAATTGTCTCACCCTTGTTCTTCTATCTTCCTTTATGGCGTTCAAGCCCTTGGCGACTCTTCAGATTTGTGAAACGAGGAAGAAGATGAAGCAGTGTTGGTCCTTCATATTTGGATTAGTACTGTAAATAGGAATTCTACTTTGAGACAGGTTCCCATACAAATACAGCTATGTTACTTTCATTTTAACTAATAAAGCGTGGTTCTCGAGCAAAGTGTATTTCAATGGCTTTTGACTCACGATTCACGAACCATACTTAGTTGTAGGAATGATTGAAAATAGAGTTGGGACATATTTCACGTGTACTGTCCTAACAAGAATTTAGGTTCCCCCCATTCTCTTCTGTTTTGATAGAACAAGAAACGGGAAAAGACAATTCTGATAAGATGCAAATAAAAAAAAAAAGACCAAACCAGCACCAACCATAAGCTTGATCAATGTCATGATCTTACCAGGAATCAAGAGCAAGCAAAATCATCTGATAGAAGTCAACCTAGCAGCACTCCTTACAAGGCAAAATGACGAGAAACAAATAAATGAGCAAAGTCAGGTACACCATTGCAGAGCTTCAAACCTTTCTTCATTCATACACTCCCTCCCGTGCCGCCATTTTCCATTCGATTATATTATATCAGTGGGTTCACAACTCACCTACCAGAAACATTTTGGTTTTCAGACTCCTTCCTAAATCATAGAATGGGAAACATTTTTTTTTTTACAATTTTTATCCACAATTAAATGAAAGAACGGCAATTATATTTGCCACAAAAAACCTGCAAACCAATAATCAAGAATCTGATAGTCCGTGAATTATTCCTATCAGAATTCATCGCCTTTCGTTGTTTCTAAGATCGATGCCCCCTCGATTCCAGGTCCAATCGTGAACCCTAAGCTGAAGCAAGAAGAATACTCCTTAGCTTCTCCCACTCATTCGATTCATCCACCTCGAGACTCGGATCCTAAACACCAGGTTTTCCACAACGTTTGCGGTTCACATCGAGAGATCTACCGGCACCATTCCTAGAACCATAATAAGCATCGAGCCAGCACCAACATCGACCCCCCGTATCGGAGGACCCATCGCAGAACAGCAGCCTAGCGGATGTAGACTACACATAAACAATCAGGTGCGAGAATTTAGAAGCGACGAGTTCTGTTAAAGAAATATACATCAAATCTTTCAGATTAAAAAGACAATAACTCAAACTAGATAGAGGCTCAGTGCGAGCTATTACGAAGCCGAAGCATTAAATAATTAAGCACTCAAAAAACACCAAATCGAAGTGATCTGACAAAGATAAAACACATTTCATATCAAACAATCACAGAATCGAAATGCATTGGACTAAAAATTGGGCAGGGGCCGCGCGCACGCAGGCCCCCTCCACCACAAATTATGACGTAGGCTCTCCCACTTGGGGAGACCTTAGGGTGACACCCCTCCGCTTGTGCAATGAAGGTCGTCAACCTAGGCCATGAGCCTTACTGATCACCCATTGACCCCGTCCAGGTAAGTATGTTGGCATCGTTGCCTTGCCTTTTGTTTTATAGCCCATGCCTCCTCCGTCTCCCTTTTTATCTCACCGATGTGGGGCTTCCATCACATTACAACATCTGCAATCCACACGTTTGTTTTATAGCACACTTTTCGCCTTACAAATCATAAATTATATACCACGTGTTCGCGTTTTTTGTGCCTGTTAATTCTACTGTTTGATGACATCTTCGAGATCCATTGAGAAGAACAGACATGGGACATCTTTTTTTTTTTTTTTTTTACCAGAACAGACATGGGATTACAGCTTCAAAAGAGAGGTGTTCTTCACTACCCTTTGTTACTGCAACTATTTAGTCATCTGATGAGGGAATCATGAAAATTTGCAGTGTTCTCTTCTGCAGCTATGTCAAGTTGAAGTATTGGAATTAAAAGAAATAATACAGGTAACTCATGTTTTAAAGCTGGCAAAGTTGTTGATCTTCTCCCAACCCCAGACAACAGATTATGATGAGGGCTGGATGTTATTTATGAAGTTTTGATTTGAACTCCATTCTGTGATTACAACAAGATTAGAGGCTGATGTTTCGAAAAGGTACAGGAGGATTGGTTTAATATGGACTGAAAGGTATGGTGTTTTGAGACCAGGGTTCTTATTAGGTACAGATGGCTTAGTTTATTGAATGGATATATAGTATTCACACCCAAATTACATTAGGGATCTGCTGACGATATATATAGATAATGCATGCCGCTTGTTTTTGGCGAACTTCCGGTGTCAGGCGATGATTCTTCAGCAAAATACCATTATTTGTATCGACTTATAAGTTGCTCGCTTGTAACGGAAGTATTTATTCAAGAAGACTCTGCATAGAATGTAACACTTTGCCTGTGACAGATTGGATTCAATGGTTTTTCATATTTTCATGTACGATCTACCCCATTAAATTGCTTCTGGACTGAATGTTGCATCATCTTACCGTCGACTCAAAAAGCCTACCATTAAATTCTTCAGTAGGTCCCCTGGAACAAGCCAGTTTGGAATATGCATGTAAATTTGATCCTAGTCAGCATTTATCAGACAATATTTACTACACTCTAAGGCGGACATTGCTCAAGGTACAAAAATTAGAGTCACTAAAGAAAGCTAAGTCAGCTGATTTTTAGCTTCTAAAATATTTTCCCTCTATCCACATTTGAACGTAATGTCCCACTTTCCACTACAAAGTTCTCTTAGATTCCTTTCACCGTAGCAATTATGTACGGGATTGACCAAAGTTTCCTACTAAACCCAAGGTGCCACTCATTGTTCATGTTCACAATTACGCCAGCACATATGCTTTCATTTCTAACATCAGATGATCTATCTTCCTGAAGCTTGAAGAAGTTACTTGCTCTCGCCTCACAGTCCCCTTCCTGGTATAATCTATCACTTGCTGGATAACTTCAAAGGAGTTGCCAATCACAACAAGCTTTGAAAACTATCGAGTCAACATTAGTCGGAGGATTTCGATCTTTGCTACCAAATAATTTTTGACACTTTTGTCCAAATAAACCAGCAAGTATGGGCAAACAAATATTTCCAAGGAAGTTTTCTTGTGAAGGTTGGTCCAATTTCATCTTTCATATTCCATCGAATCCACTCCATCCCTTGCAGGCTTTTGAATTGGTTCTAATAATCTTCTCGTTTCACAACAGCTTTCCATATGTTTTCTGCTTGGTGACAGTCACTTCCTCAAAACTGCTGTATGTACTTTATCCTTGACTAACAGCCACATGAAACTCTTAATCTTTTTTCTGGGTAGACCAGCTCCAAAGCTCGTTTCAAAATTTCCTGTTATTAGAATTTGTACCTGCAGTTAGAAATATGAAAGTATATTTAATGCTAAAATTACCATCAGTGGATGGGTTCCAGATGTATTTACCTCTCCCTCTCCTCTCTCTCTCACAGTGTGAACACTAGTTACAAGGTTAACAAGCTTGTGAGGAAGATTGTTCTCAAGTTTTTGCCAATTCCAGTCCCCATTTGGCAACACAGATACTCAGCAACTCTTTCATTCAAGCTCATATTCAGATCCATCTCTTTCACATAATCAGCGAGAGGGACTTCAATGCTTAACCAATCATCAAACCAAAATGAGGTCTGTTCTCCTGATTCAATCTGTCTAATCAACCCCTGTCTAAAGGTATCCCAAAGATCACAGTTACTTCTCCATGTTAGTGATGAATTTGCTCTTTTCTTAACACGAGGGAATTCGTCATCATCACACGTGTTCCCTTGTTTTCACGTTCGTGAAAAAGTCTGAAGTGGGCTTCGGTGAAGTTGGTAGCACAAGCACACAATTTAACTAATAAAAGTGTGGTTCTCGTACCAAGTGTGTTTGAATGGCTTTTAACTCATGAACCATACATGTAGGAATGATTGCAAATAGAGTTGGGACCTATTTCGTATATACTGTTCTTACAAGAATACATGCTCCCACTATGTTCTGAAGTTTAAATACAGAAAATCTAGTTGCAGGAGATCTATCCTATTAATAACAAAGGAAGTCAAGAGAAATTTTGAGCATCTTGACAAATAAATCAAGCTTCTGGTGATCTAATCGTAACATTTACCACCCTTTTTGTTCTTTTTGGTTTTGATAGAATAAGAAGAGTACAATTAGATGAGGAAAAGCTTACAAGTCTTTCTCCCATCTCCGGATGATATGGCTTTCATGTATGTAAAGAATCTATGAAAAGAACAAGTGCATTCAGAATGGAAAGGAATAGAATATACAAGTCTTACTCCACGATTGCAGAAACACGGGATAAATTTGCAAGCTGCTACTCCACGAGAACAACTCTGATAAGATGCAAAGGAAAAATAAGACCAAACCACTGAACCAGCATAGTCCATAAGCATGTTAAACGGAATAATCTTGCATGGAACCAAAGAGCAAGCAGGAACCATCTGATCAAAGTCAGCCTAGCAGCAAAAAAAATATAACAAAACGAAACGAAAGAAAGATCACAGTGCAGCACACAACCGCAGATCTTCGAACCTGACTTCCATGTCCTGCCTCCCATGTGTGACCGTTTTCGATCTGGTTAAAATAAGTATTTTACACAAATCTAGCAGAAATAACAAGCATTCCCTTTTATCACAATCCGCCGCTTCGTTTTTCACAGCCTCCTTCGTAAATCGGAGAAAGAGAAACATATATATTTTACAATTTCAGGAGACCTACCTAAGAGAATTCAACGCCTCCCTTTGTTTCAGTCGAGCAAAGACCCGTGATTCCAGGCCCAGTCGTGAAGAATGCGTTGAGAACCAGGTCTCCACGACGTTCGCAGTTCACATCAAAAGACCTACCGTCATCAACTCGACAACCATTACTCGCATCGAGACTGCACTTATGTCAAGCCCTCCACATCGGAGGACCCGCCGCAGCTGCGCTGCCGCCAGCTTCAGAAACAACACAATCACGCGAGAAAACTTCCGAACGCAAACACACATCACTTCAAAAACAAGGAAATTTGAACTGAAAATTTGGCAGGGGCCGCGCGGACGCAGGCCCCCGCTGCCACAAATTATGACGTAGGCTCTCCCGCTTGGGGAGACCTTAGGATGACACCCCTCCCAAAGTGCAATGGAGGTCATCAACCTAGGCCATGGGCCTTCATGATCACCCATCGACCCCGTCCAGGTAAGTATGTTGCAAGCGTGGCCCTCCCTTTCTTTTATTCCCAGCCTCTCCCCTTTTCCTTTTTTGTTTCCCGATGTGGGACTTCTATTATACTACTGGTTATCGGGACTTCGATTATATTGCTGCAACGCTTTCTTCCCACGCCCTCACTCACTTCTCGCCTTACAACAAATCATGAATCAAATGCCACGTGTTTCCTAGTCTTTAATATGCCTGTTGATTACTTGTATTGTTTGATGACTTCTTCAAGACCCATAAAGGAGAGTAGACTTGGGATTACAACTCAACAAGAGATGTATTTTCACTATCCTTGGGGTCCGATGGTGCTCTCGGACCCCACTTTTTGAACGGACCATCGGACCCCACTTTTTTGAACGGATCCAATTCCTTCAATTCAAATATGATGTTTTATATCTTATCATGTCATCCCATCTTAAAATAATTTAATGTTAAAAAAAATAATTTTTACACTTTATTCACCATTTTAGATTTAAATATTTTTTATGATAATGACTTATACTGTTTTTTTTATTTTCAAAACTTGAGCTAAAAAATTACCTTGCAGATTTTTTAAAAATAAATTTTTGTTAAATAGGTCAGGTTAGAATTTGGATAAGTCAAAATGCAAGTCTTAGATTTAAAATAATTTGAAGACTAATTTTTCAGATTGACTTTTGAAAATAAAAAATCAGTACGAATCATTATCATAAAAAAATATCTAAGGTGAAATGAAGTGTGAAAAGTTATTTTAATATGAGTGATACATTAGATTTGGATTGAAGGGCTTGGATTTTCTACTAGTGAGGGATGCTAAGAAGGGTGGAATCTGAAGGTAGCTTTTATTTTCAAATTGCTTTTGAGACACAGAAGAGTTTAGAGAAGGCTTGTTTAGGACTTGAACAACCAGCTGACTAAAGGTTATTTAGCTTCAACCCATCTTCTACATTCAAAACTTTTGTGAATCTTCATCTGATTCACTTCCTGTAATAGCGCAGGACTTGATAGTCAGAGAACGGAATCAATGAATCGGTGTTGCACGGAATGGATTGAAGCAAGCATATTCTGAATTATTATTATTATTATTATTATTATTATTATTATTATTATCATTATATATGGGGTGTTTGGTTCATGTATAAAAATAAGCACAGCTCAATGGTGATGATGCAACCCAAGTTGTATTGAGTATTAACTTCTGGTCATTACACCAGTCACATGGCATTTTGTAATGGAGAAAATAGTTTCTCCAAATTTTATTACAAATTGGGAAACATCGTTGCAAGTCATTCACGAAGATTTGAAGTGTTTTACAATTATGTCAAGCAGAAGGTCACACCAAAATAGAGTTAGGCAAACAGACTTAACCCGACGGACCAGCCAGCCAATTTTAGTGAGTTGAGTTGGTAAAAATGAGCCTATTTTAAAAAACAGATTGGATTGGCTTAAATTATAAAAATTTGCAGGCTAAATAGGCTAGCCACCAACCCTTCTTCTTCTTTTTTTTTTAAAAATAAATGAGTTGGCAAGGTGAACCTTATGCATATTAGACTCCTATCATCTCACTCATTGATCTTTTTTTTTTTTTTTATCAAGATTGAGTTACTCAATGCTTTGCTGACATATTTATGAAAACAACATGCTTGGTGGTATTATTGCCAATGCATCCTCCAAACTCTTTCTTTATCTTCATCTACACACTGACACTTTCCTTCTTCACAACATTGTTTTTTCTATAATTGATTAAATTTTATTTATTAAAATATATATTTATTTTGTTTATTTATAAACTCTTTAATTACTAATTTGTCATAATGTGTGGACTAAATATACATATTTATGTTGTATAAATTTTAAATAGTTCCAAAAAAAAAAGATTTTAGATTGGCCAATTTGCCAAAAAGTGTTGACTAACTTGTCTTATCTAGCGGTTGGTCTAACCCAACCAGCAAAAATGTCAACCCAAACAGTTAGCCTATAACTCATTTGTCCAATACTATGTCAAAGGATAGCAGCATCTCAATCCTTGTTCACAAAAATAACCAAAAAAAAAAACTCACAAGTGTATGTCAATTTTGTTTCTATCTATTCATATTTTGGAATGACCATTAAAGAAAGAAAATGACTTAGTGCGTGTTTGGTTTTTGTTGGGCAAAAGTCAATTTGTGAAAAATTTATTTAATAAAAATAAATTTAATAAAAGTCAGTTATTATAGTAAAATTTTTGTTTAAATATATTTTTAAAAGTTAGCTTGATAAGTTAAAAGTTATTTAGATTATATATGAAAAAATATACTTTTACATGTAAAGTTATTAACAAGGATATTGATTTTGTGATGATTATAATTTTGTTATATAAATATAATATATTAAAATTAAAAATATTTAAAATATGATAAATAAAACGTATTCAACAAGTTCTAACTTTAACTTTATGAAACATACTTAAAAAATAAAATACTTTAACTTTTAATAACTTTTCTAACATTTAATGAAAGCAAAAGGGTAAAGATTTACATAATAATCATTGAAACATCTTATAAATAGAACCAAAATAAATACTATTGTTGCCCATAAAGAATACCAAAGAAGTATATTTGATATTGAAAAGTTAAAAAACACTTTTGAAAAGCTCTCAGATTGCTTGTTCTAAAATTCACTTTTAGATCAATTCTCAAAGTCTTTTTTCAATGTTAATTTATATCTATTATAGTGTGTGTTTAGTTTTCAATTTACATCTAGTAAAAATTATTTGGAGCGTCCAACTATATTTTAAATTTAGTAAAAGCACATTCTAACTATAATTTAAATATACTTTTAAAAATTGGCCAAGTAAATTCATAATCATCCCAACAATATTTAAATTTGACAAATTGGATAGGACTTTTGAAGAGTGACAAGTAACAAATTCAAATGAGCCTATTGTGAGATGTGTGAGGAGTTCTTTTTATTTTTATTTTTAAAACTTAAAATGCTGGACGAATCAAAATTTTATGATATTGATATTGTTTAAGTGGGTATCATTCATGGTTTCCTATTTGAATTTATGTTCAAAAAATTATAAAACAAAAGTATTGAAATTAAATGAATTAAATAACAGAAATATTACAAATAAGCATGCTCAGTCAAAAAAGGAATGAATAAAAAATCACTGAAAATGAAAATAATAATTATAAAAATGTAATAAATATTAATCTAATATTGATGCCAAAAATTGTGGTTACCAAAATCTTGCTTTGATACTTTCTAAGTTATTATTAAGAAACTGAAAATCAGATTAGTTATTAAATTGGCTAAATTATTAATTTAAACATTAGTAATTAAAATTATAATCGTGAAAAATTAATCATGAAGTATTTCATTAAATCAGTTAAATTGGCTCAACATATTTTGGTTTAATGGATCAGAGATTGACCTCATTTTCAATAATACTCTTCTAATTATATTTACATGATTTACTGAAATCTAAAAATCCTCTAAAACTCAGAATTTCGCCCCAACCAATCCGGTTTCGGAGAATGTAAGGATATAAACCTCGAACATTATTATCTTCAGCTCCTCTTGAACAGCACACGAATTTAAAAATGCTTCCTTCCAGATGTCTCCATCGCCAATGTTAAACTTTCTCGCGCGCATTTCGGTGTGATCCTCAAATTTTAGGAAGCAAAGGAAGCAGATGACGAGTGCGATGACGTCGCTTAATGGAATGAACATTGTTTGCAGAGGAGGAACTGCAACCTCCCGAACGGTTCTCATTACTGGCGTCAGTAAGGGCCTCGGAAGGGCTCTTGCCCTAGAATTGGCCAAACGAGGCCACACTATAATCGGGTGTTCACGTGTTCAGGATAAGCTAAAGGCACTTGAATCGGAACTTTCTTCTTGTTCTTCTTCTGCTGCCGCCCCAGCTGCTTCCAATTCTTCGTCATCCGAAAAGCACTTGCTGCTCAAAGCTGACGTGGTTAGTACTTTGTGTCTATCTTGTCTCTTTTGGTTTTTCGAATTTGTTTCAGGTTTTTGCTTGTAAACTTGATGAATTGTGTTGTGAAATATAATAAAAACTCATGTTGGCGGGCGATTGATGAAATTTCAAGCTTGGTGACTGTACATCCCTTTGTCGGTAGCTGTTGTATAATGGGTTTCGGAAATTTGGAAGTGTGTTATGCGTCAATGACAAAAGTTCCCTTATTTACACTTCTTTTGGTTTCAGAGATCGGACAGCAGCGTTGAGGAGCTGGCTCGTACTGTGATGGAGAAAAAGGGTGTTCCTGATATTATTGGTGCGTATCCTTAGTTCATCATGATTGTTGCATTTGGATTTCTTCCCCATCTTTTGGACGTCCGTAAATCAGTGGTATAATTGTATAAAAATCCAGAATGTGTGTGTATCCCTTTGGCTTTGAGATAATAATTTAGGGGTTGGCATTAGAAAGATCATCCAAGTTGAGGATTGTACAGTTTTAGTAGCTTTTTTATTCAAACTTAACGGGGATAATTTGTCCTCTGTTGATTTGCATTCTGTTTTTCTCAAAATTCTTTTTTCTGAAGCAAACAATGTTAATTGCGTGTTGTCTGTGAAAATTTGGTGAAGAAATTGATCATCCTCCTTAACCGGTGCTGGTCGTCAGTCCACAAGAATGCTATCAAGATTTTGCAGCTGGTTTATCAGTTGAGTTTCCCCTACCAAAAGACAGGAAGAAAGATTATATGTTTCATCTTTGATCTCAAAGCAATATACAATTTCTTGATTTGCATTACAAGGCTTTGTAGTTTTTCAGAGGGAAAAGCTTATAAACTCAAGCAGCTGAAGGATTTTTTTGCCTTATAACTTGATTCAGTTTATCCTGATATCGATACGTGTCTGTTTTATTTAGTCATCCTTCATATGGTGCTTTTGGCGGTCTGATATACTAAAATGAATGGCATAATCAGTAAATAATGCAGGAACCATTAATAGAAACAACAAAATTTGGGAAGTTCCTGTTGAAGAGTTTGATAATGTCATTGATACAAACCTCAAAGGAGCTGCTAATATATTACGTCATTTCATCCCTCTTATGGTCACAAAGAAGCAAGGAATCATTGTCAATATGTCATCTGGATGGGGAAGGGCTGGTGCTGCACTGGTTAGTTGAGCATATAATTATTGTATATCTTTAGTTTATCATTTGTTTGTCCCGATAATAATGCAGACAACCTAAACATTTTCTGTTCTAAATGGAATTCTAAACACAGTTTGTCATGGAAGAGTGTTCTTTTGTCATTCTGGATCATGGATTTGTTCTTTGATTGTTGCTGTCATCTTGTTTCTCAAAGGCTATACTGGGACTTTGAGATTTATTTTGGAGAAAACTGTGTCAATGGTGAGTTGGAAACTAAATTAAAATTGTTTAAGCTGAGATGAATTGAGGGTCTCTTAAGGTGGGAGACATACAGCGGTTCTTATGATTCAATTCTCAAATTATATGAGTGATGATTTTTGTCTCGGCGTCCTACCCTTGTATGATTTACCAATTTCCTACGATACTGATCTTGGATTTTAAATTTCAACATTACAAGTCTATGTGCATAACTGACTCATCATGTCCAACTTTTACGACTGCCAGCATCTTTCAATAGTTTAACTGATATTTGAATTCAAGCGTTATGCAACAGGTTGCACCTTACTGTGCATCAAAATGGGCTATAGAAGGATTGACTAGGTCTGTGGCAAAGGAGTTGCCTGAAGGATTGGCAGTTGTTGCCCTAAATCCAGGTGTAATAAACACTGAGATGCTTGCATCATGCTTTGGCAATTCAGCTGCCCTATATCAAGCGCCTGAAGCATGGTATAAATGCTTCTTCATGATTAATGTTACTTTGGTCGCAGCATCTTTTCTATTTGCATGAAAGAATGTTGTCACATGTTATCTTAACTATTCTGTCCTCCTGGTTCCAACAAATATGCTGAAGCCTGAAGATTGCCTAAAAAGAGAGCATAGAATGATCAAAGGATCTAAACCATTGCTAGATCCAGTTCTTTATGGAAATAGAAGAGATTGCAGAGAACTATTGTGATGTGATGCATGTTATGGATATGATGAAACTACTATCATGGATTTTTATATCACGAGTAAAGCTTTTGATCAAGCATCTTGTTGATGTGGTATTAGACCCTTGATTGTCACGGGGTCAGAGCCTCTAAAATTAAAATGAAAATTATAACAATGTAAGCTGAACTTGTGTTTTGTCAGGATGGGGAAGGGCTGGTGCTGCACTGGTTAGTTGAGCATATATATTATTGTATATCTTTAGTTTATCATTTGTTTGTCCCGATAATAATGCAGACAACCTAAACATTTCATTTTCTGTTCTAAATGGAATTCTAAACACAGTTTGTCATGGAAGAGTGTTCTTTTGTCATTCTGGATCATGGATTTGTTCTTTGATTGTTGCTGTCATCTTGTTCTCAAAGGCTATACTGGGACTTTGAGATTTATTTTGGAGAAAACTGTGTCAATGGTGAGTTGGAAACTAAATTAAAATTGTTTAAGCTGAGATGAATTGAGGGTCTCTTAAGGTGGGAGACATACAGCAGCGTTCTTGATTCAATTCTCAAATTATATGAGTGATGATTTTTGTCTCGGCGTCCTACCCTTGTATGATTTTACCAATTTCCTACGATACTGATCTTGGATTTTAAATTTCAACATTACAAGTCTATGTGCATAACTGACTCATCATGTCCAACTTTTACGAACTGCCAGCATCTTTCAATAGTATTAACTGATATTTGAATTCAAGCGTTATGCAACACAGGTTGCACCTTACTGTGCATCAAAATGGGCTATAGAAGGATTGACTAGGTCTGTGGCAAAGGAGTTGCCTGAAGGATTGCAGTTGTTGCCCCCTAACCAGGTGTAATTAACACTGAGATGCTTGCATCATGCTTTGGCAATTCAGCTGCCCTATATCAAGCGCCTGAAAGCATGGTATAAATGCTTCTTCATGATTAATGTTACTTTGGTCGCAGCATCTTTTCTATTTGCATGAAAGAATGTTTCACATGTTATCTTAACTATTCTGTCTCCCTGGTTCCAACAAATATGCTGAAGCCTGAAGAGCCTGCCTAAAAGAGAGCATAGAATGATCAAAGGATCTAAACCATTGCTAGATCCAGTTCTTTATGGAAATAGAAGAGATTGCAGAGAACTATTGTGATGTGATGCATGTTATGGATATGAATGAAACTATTCATGGATTTTTATATCACGAGTAAAGCTTTTGATCAAGCATCTTGTTGATGTGGTATTAGACCCTTGATTGTCACGGGGTCAGAGCCTCTAAAATTAAAATGAAAATTATAAAAATGTAAGCTGAACTTGTGTTTTGTCACTGTATCAAGCCTTTGGCTTTCCATGTGTGAGGAAAGGTGTGTTGATAGTTTAGTCTATATGTTTAAACTTGAGTTGGATCAGTCTATGACTTGTACATATTCATGCAAATAAATATGCTTTTGTTTTTACATAATTAAAGAGCTAATATTGTGTTTTGCAACAATTTATAACCTTTTCGAGTCTTTTGAACGACTATTTGGCTAGATCAGGTTTAACCATAGACATAAGTTGATTTTGTTTGTCATGCCCATAATTTATTTCCCTTTCATTTTAAGCTTTCAACTATAAATATGATTGGCTCCTGTAATTCAGGGCCCCAAAGGGAGCAAGCATGATACTCAATCTCACTGCAGCAGACAATGGTGCATCTCTCACTGTTTAAGCTAAGAGAAGGGTCAAGCATTCCCCTATCTATAAGCTCCATTTTCTTGGGGGCTAGAGAATGTAATAGATCAATCTTGTTTACTAAGTACACGTAAGTTGGTAAATTGGTTAGTTTGAAGATGAATATAGGCTTTTTCATCCTGATTCATTGCTTTATACTACTTAATTTCATGGGATGGTGCTGATGATTTTGGTCTGTATTCTTATATGGTCCGTTAGACTGACTGTAGTGTATACTTAAAGCAAATTGTCTAGATTGATTGTAGTGAACAGTAGGCATGCATTAATGGCGACAAGAATTTACAATCAAGTCAAAGTGCATCTTGCTTGCACGATGATGATCATGATAATTATTTTTATCATTATGATTATTATATTTGATAATATCCGATTTTTCTTTTTGAAATGTCTGTGTGAATGAAGTTGAAAATTGTCATTTGATTTGTTCATACAATTGTGTTGATTCGCATTTGAGGGTTATTGCCAGTTTGCAAGTTTAGTGATTGTAAATTTCTGTTTAAAAATAAAAATCATACACTGAACCTTTAAAAGATGGAAGGCATGCAAGTCTTGAGTTCTTTAACTTAACTTAACCTCTGAAGGGCAGACAAGTAACAGAGCCTCTCACTACCTCAAATTGCATTCATGCAATGCACAGGCAATTTCCCTAAGCATCGAAGCTGGGTCCCTAGGGTGAAGTCATGAACCAAACCAGTCCACTTTAATCACATGAAAAATTGCACGACAGATGACGAGCTTGAAGCAAAAATGTTCACCGAATGAGTGTTGGTACAATTTACCCTCTGATGATCACATTGATACAAAACAATTACATATATAAGAGGAAAATGTTGGGCAGGCAAAATATCATCTTGCCCAACATTGTCCCCAAACATCCAATACGGGCAAAAGCGGAGAAACATGTATGGCGTTAATATGGCTGTATTAGGCAATCTTTATCTACACACACCTAACCCATTCTAGTAACTTGAAGAGAGGATGTAGAACTGTCAATACAAGACTAGAAAAATCAAGCATCCACCCAACAAGCAATAAAAAATTGGAATGAGCTGTTGCTTTATCTAATATCTAGAACCGGATGGAGGTGCCGGTGGTAGCCGATTTGGTGTCCGGCGACTGCTAGAATTTGCAACTGAACTTGTATCACCATTTTGAGATGGGTCACTGTATCGTCTATTGTGTCCACCAGATCCAACCCGAGATGAGTCAATGAAACCATTTGCGGCAGCATCGAATGCAGATCTCCAATCACTACCAGATGAGCTACCATGACTTGCACCACTCTCTGCATAATTGACTTGTTATGGTTGTACGAAAAGTAAACTATATAACGGGTAAAATCAACATGATAGTACTAACTGATGCAAAATGTATATTCTAGACAGCAGTTACAAAATGCAGAAAATACGCAATCAAAGTATAAATATAAAGGCAATTTAATATTCCTCTAGATGACAATAAAATTTACATGCAATCAAACTTTTCACTTCAATTATAAAAGAAAGGTACAACTCTATCCAATAACCCACCTAAGCCATTCAAATGAACAGATTGTAATGTGTCATAATTTTGAATATGTATCAATAACATCCTTTTCAGGCTTTTAACATCTAGTGGCATGTGCAAAACCTTTATGAAAAGTGACCACTTGTCAATTTGTCATTATTTTGATCTATGTTACGCACAAACGTGAGTTTAGGAGCCACCAGCCAAAGACAATGCATCATATACATATTTTTTTCTTTGTTTTTTTTGGGGGGGCGACTTTGGAATGCATGCTTGCAGAAACATTACCAGTTGTGCTGCCTTCATCAGACCAGCTGGATGCTGCAGCTGCTCTATTATCATGGACACTAAGCTGCCTAGTTAACTTTGAAAGAAGGGAGGACTGTTTCTGAATGCGTTCCCTTTTACGCTTTACGCTATGGCTTTCCTCTTGGAGCAGCTCTTCAATTTTTGCCGAGCTTTGTGCACTGTCAATGACAAAAAAGGAAATAAGTTCAATAAATTTTCCAGATGAAGTAAAAAAAATCCTGAAAAGAATTTGAACTCTTTGTATGGCGTAGACATCTCAAAATTACATGTATTAATCAGTATCCAAAATGTCCTATGTGATCTTCCAATATATACAAGAAAAGCAATAAAGAATACACAAAGCATAACTGTAAACAAAAAATTTTAATGTGGCCCTTAGGTCCCAGAAGTTTCAAATATATGTGATGATGCTCAGAGGATGAAATATTGGAAGACAGTACATCACATAATAAATTTATGAAGAAGCAATGCACTCATTAGGCAATAGGGCAGAGGAGTCAGCTCTAACCTGACCGAACTGTACAACTGGTTAAGCATGTCTTCTTTGGCTTTCTCCACTTGGCAAAGAACAACGGCCTGAGAAGCCAAAACAAATTAATCTCATGGACGCTCAGAACAGCAACAGATCTAAAGAGAGAAAAGTACAGTACTTGATAAAGTAAACAGACCTTAGGGACATTAGCTGCAAGACTGTTAAGAACAGCTTCAACATAACCACGCACTTCCTGGGCCATCCATCTGAGCTCCTCTTCTGGATCTGCAGGTCTTCTCGCCATGGTATCCTATAAAAGAGAGAAACATGAACAACTTTTCAGAAATAGAGCAACTTCTAGACAACACGCAGTTCATAGATGGGTCACTGATCATAGATTGGTTGAGATGCGCAGCTACTAAAATACACTACCTACGTTTCAAATATAAAGCTTTTTTTTTTTGGGGGGGGGGGAGTCCAATGCTTCAATATACAAGGCATTTTATGGAATTCTGAGTGTGACTAATGTCTTTTTTACCTAAAATGCCCCTAGGAGCATATTAAAATTAATTACCTTCCATTAGAGACAAATAATTAATGATTGGTACAAAGAAAGGCAAAGATGGAAAAAAATTTGAATCTTAATTACCATTGTTTCACTGGATGAGCATGTGTCAGGTAAAAATGCCTTGTCTGAAATGAAGAGAGCACAAGCAACAAGCACCCCAGGATCTAGAAATTTTCTAATTGACTCTCAACAGACATGCTTCTCATTACAGGTGTAAATTGTAAACTCATTTGAGTTCAACAAATGAATCTGACGCTAACCCATAACATGCAAAGTGAAAACCTATTGGTATGAATAGAAAAAGAAATGTAGTTTATGATGTAGGATCACTTGAAAAAAAAAAAAATAAATAATGTGATTGGCATGTTAGCCACTCTTTGAATTAGCAATGGTTTCCAATTCTTTTTTTTAAACGTCGCTACATAATCAAATGAAGAAAATAAAAAGAGATGGGTAATTCAATAACTTACAAGAGGAGCCATCAGAAAGACTGTGTCGCATAGGAAGACCTGATTCACCCATCGCTTGACTACCTTTCGTAGGATGTGCAACATTTCCTAGCTTTTTCAGCCACTCAACTTTATCTGCTACACTCTCAGCCTTTAACAGAACTGTACTTTCAGCTGCAAAATGCATATAGCAAAATTGGCACACACCAAGCAGGGGCATCTCAAATCCGGTGATGGTCCTGGGAAGACGCATGAGTTAAAAAGTGATATATAGCAACAGGATTACCTTTCATAACAGTCTTATAAGGGACCTTGCTTGTTATCTTGAAAATAAGGTTGGATGCTCTCCAGAATCAGGTCCATTGGCCTTTTTATCCTTTGAGCTCTTTGCTGAAGCTTCGTCATCATCAGAAATTCCTCAATGTTGCATTCCTGATCAGGACAGTTGAAGCAACTTGGATTAATATGCTGAAATCTTAAATGGTTCTTTCTTCCTATCCACTTAAAACTCGGAAATAAAAATTTTATCCTCCATTTTTGAGAACTCACAGAGTTATTATGAAGGCTTACACACTATCAACTTGACAACAGCCACTTTCAAAGGCATAGGATTCAAAGGCATTTAACCCCAGACTATGACAATGATGATGACATAATTAGGACCTCTTATGAAGATGGAAATTCATTGGAGGGAGAAATAAGATGGTGAAACTATAGAGAAACCATTTTTTTCCCATTAAAAAAAGGTTAACTAATCAATATCTTAGCATATCAGAAATGGAAGCCCCGCAGAAACAATGAACTGAGAACCAGAGAGAACCCATAAAACGTGGAGAGTGATGCCCATAAAGATGAAGACATTTCATTCCAACAAAATATACCAGAGGACTGAATCGACACACATGCAGCAAAGTCAGCAACACAATTGTGGCTTTATTTCCACCAAATATTTACAGTGTATGAGTATCATGAAAAATGCTCCAAAGTGAAAGACACATGACACACACGCTGATGTTTATCCATCCTCCCATTCGCACATAACAGCTATACATGAATGAACATAGTCTGGTACATAATAGTCTGGTACATAATACACTGGTTACATCAAAATGGGCCGGTGTTCCAATATCATGCTCTGACTCTGACCCCACATAACACGCACACTTTTTTACTTTCCTATTCGGTTGGTATCCCAATAGTTCTAACTATCGGGTCACCATACTGCCCCAATTCTCTGTTAAATCCTCTGCCAACATACTCAAAAGACTTGAATTCAGACATAAAGATAGATGAACTAAACTCATAAATAAAACATAGGAACAGGGAGAAAGAAGTACATTAACCTTAATGATATCCAAACTCAACAATATTTATGACTTCAGTTGATCATGGTTGAAAGATCCATAAAATTCACCAAACTTCTCTTTCTTTTTTCTTTAGTTGTTAAACTGCTTCACTTAATCCTAACGTGTCTCACTCATGTTAATGTTCTCACCAGTGTTCCTTAACAGTGAAAGGACCATCAACAACTGCCTTTGTCCTTTCACGTAATTGTTACAAGAACAAGTCCAGCTGAAAGAAGAAAAGATCTAATAATTAAAATAAGGGGGAAAACCGATCAGGAAAGAAATGATGAAGAAGAAAGAATTTTCACTTTTTCATTATCATCGCACTACTAGAATAAGTCTTTGCAGAGAAGTAGCTAATGCTCTATTTATTCTTAAGTGAATAAAAGTCAACAGAACATGGCAGGCTTTCTAGACAACCTTAACCAATTAGGATATGGCACATGATATTGGAAAGAATTTTATCTTCCTCATAATTCCATTTTTCCCTCTCGCGGAAAGCAAGCAATAATGCTTTGAGTAACTTAGTTTTCTCTCACTATTCATGCAGAATTTTAAAAGGAAAATTGGTATGCATTCTCTTGTTGAATGACAGGCACCAAAATGCATTGGAACAAGTAACAACATAGAAGATTTAGCGAATGAAAAAGATGGCCAAATATCATGAATCCAGGCACAATTTATGAAAGACGCAACCAAAAAAGATGACTGAG